CGCTCACGACTCAAGACAAGATCATGAAGATGCTACAATATGCACTGGAACTGAAAGGAAATCTTATGCCAAACATCCACGGAGGAATCTATTCAGCCGGTATAACCCTCTGACTCGGGTTATATCCTCTACGTATAAATGTTATGGGGGCTGATTTATCGTTGTGACCAACGGTACGTGCTTTGGCCAAATATTGCATAGTCCGTACGCATTTCAACTTGTATCGCGTATACGGTGACAAAAATGGTTGTGCCGCGCCGCGCGAAATCAAAGCTATTCTCGTGGCAACAGCGTACTAAAAATAGCGTGCATCTTGCTAAAGGTCGAACCCGAATCACGGTATTTTCCCCCTTACGATAATACCAGTACAACATAACGTTTTTTGCTAAGGGTGTCTAATGATGTACTAGTACCGTAAAGTACCGTTGATCCGCCCCCACTCTAATTCCCGCCCCCCCCCCCCCCCTCGATTTTCTGTCTCTGAAGCGACTTCAGAATTATACGGTAGAGAAATTATGCGTCTTTCTGTACTCATGTCCATATGCATACAGTCGTACTACTAGTGCGCAAACAAACATTCGGGTGAGAGTCTCTGTGAATGTGTACGTCGAGTTTGACCTTCCTCACCTGTTTGCGTCTGAAAGATACAACACCGCATTGTCGTACAACGACACTGCACCAAACAGCCTTGATCGAATCCCCCCCCCCCCATGAAAAACAAGCTGGGAAGCGACTTGGCGTGGGGGGCGGATCAACGGTACTTTACGGTAATTCACTGCACCTAATTTAGAGCCGTATGCATCCTAAACAGGTCGAAAGGTCACAGCGTAGATACACACAGTTCACAGAAAAGGTACACATAAGAAGTATTGGTATCCAGTGCCCATTCATATTTGGGAGCACCTTTGAACCTTTGAGGTGAACCTTGACTGTGATGAGTACGAGTACTACTCTCATGAGACAGATAACAGTTGTATGTAACACATGTACTACGTATGCCGGTCTGCAGGGGCTGCACACTGCATGGTGTAGTCCCGTATGCCGGTCTGCAGGGGCTGCACACTGCATGGTGTAGTCCCTTATGCCAAGTGTCGGATTGCACTGACCATGACTGTACTATTAAAAGGACACTGAAACAAAATACCTATTATACAAGTAGAAAACCGAAGAAAAAACGTGGTGATAGTGGTGGCGGCTGCTACTGCTGCTGGTGTTATTGCTGCTACTGCTGCTACTGCTGCTGGTGTTGTTGTTGCTGCTGCTGCTGCTGCTGCTGCTGCTGGTGTTGTTGTTGCTGCTGCTGCTGCTGGTGTTGTTGTTGCTGCTGCTGCTACTGCTGCTGGTGTTATTGCTGCTACTGCTGCTGGTGTTGTTGTTGCTGCTGATGCTGCTTCTGCTGCTGGTGTTGTTGTTGCTGCTGCTGCTTCTGCTGCTGGTGTTGTTGTTGCTGCTGCTACTGCTGCTGGTGTTTTTCTTGCCGCTGCTGCTACTGCCGCTGGTGTTTTTGTTGCCGCTGCTGCTACTGCTCCTGGTGTTGTTGTTGCTGCTGCTGCTGCAGGTGGTGGTGATGCTGCGGCTGCTGCTGGTGCTGCTGGTGTTGTTGCTCTTGTTCTTGTTCTTGTTGCCGCTGCTGATCTTGTTCTTGTTCTTGTATAATTCAAATTGCTGTTTTTCTATGTTCACGATGTGTTCAGCTCATCACCGGGGGACAGTGGACAGTGGCGTGTAGTGTTGATACGCCGGGTAGTGTGTGTGTTACACACTATGATGTTGTCGTTTGACCATGCCAGCATGATGGCCAAACACTTCCATGCTGATCATGCACTGGTCAGTAGCTACACTGCTCTCATCTATCAGTTGAGACAGCTGTATGAACATCTCGACGAGCAGAATTCGGAGAAGACTGTTGAGGGTGAGTGTTGCTGGTTCTTCTTCTGCTGCTGTTGTTGCTGCTTCTGCTGTTATGGGGGAGGGGGTCTACATTATGTGAGCCGATGGTGGACGATTGCCTCTTCCTCCCCTCCCGTCTTGCTCCCCTCCCGTCTTGCTCCTTCCATTCCGTCAGTACATGTACAATAGTCCAGAAGTGTCTATCGGGAAGCTTGATGAAGAGCTCCTGTAAAAGTCCTACCCTGAGCAATAGTTTGCATTCTAATTCTGTTTGTAAGTGCACTGTACTGCAAGTCTGCTGCTTTGTGTTTTGTGAGAAAATGGTGTATGTACTGTTCGAACCTTCGACCTAGATTTTATCCAATCGATTATTCGTTGAGGTCCATGGAGATCGAGGAAATTCGACTACCGTAAAGTCGCGGATAAAAGCTGGGTTTGCATACAAGCACATCGCAGATAGAAGCCTGAAAATCAAACGGGTCAAATGCATATACGCCTGTTGCGCGTAGAAGCGGCTTCTATGCAAGCGAGGATCGGGTAGGTCAAGAGTGCATGCGCTATGTACGGTGCGTAGTAAAATTGCCGCCGTACCCGTAGTCAGTGGTAGATCTACGCGTGTCGCGCGTAGAAGCGTGCATACAAGCCTGGCAAAAATATCAGTGGTGCATATAAGCATGGTTTGCATACAAGCCTGGTGTGATTTAAAGCCTGATGCACAAAGCGGCTTTTATGCTTATAAGCCCGGCTTTTATCCGCGACTTTACGGTAATCGATTATTCGTTACATCACTACTGATTTCTACTTCTTCTATGTCTAAAGCTTTCATTGGTTTGAGGGAAAGATGCAAACAGGAAAAGTCTGAAGAAATAAATTGATTTATAAGAAGAGGACCAAAGAGCTACAAGTTTATACGCTATATTATCCACTAACACCGTTGCATGAGCTGATTGTAAACTAACTGGTGGTGGTGTTAGTGGATAATATAGCGTATAAACTTGTAGCTCTTTGGTCCTCTTCTCTTCCTCTTCTCTTCTTATAAACTAATCCTTGGCTCTAAAAGAAATGACTGTCACCACCCGGACTCGAACCAGAGACCTTCGCTTGAGGCCAGCGATACTCTAACCACTGAGCTATGTATGGTGTAGCTGTCATCTGTTCCTACATTCTTGTTGTGATGGTTTTTGTTCTTGCTGTGACGGTTTTTGTTCTTGTTGTAACACAGCTTCAATGCTGTCATCCCTATGTGAGTTCTTGACGGACTGTAGCAGCCCCAACCAGAGTTCTGCTGAGGTAGGCAGTGCCGCTAGTGATGAGGAAGCCATGGCGGTGGTCTCCTAATGGCACCCCTCTCCCAACGCAAACACCAGTTTCCAAACAGGCCGACGGTGACGGTTTGTCTGTTACCTTCGATTCATGTCTGCTGTGCAATAGTTATTAGTGTTTGTCAATATCTGCTGTGCAATAGTTATCAGTGTTTGTCAATGTCTGCTGTGCAATCGTTATCATTGTCCTTGTCAAAATCTTCCTGAGCTTGACTGAATCATTTGATTCCTTTGAGTCTCTCCGCTCATGCCACTGTTTCACGTTTGTAGTCATGGCGCTGACCATTTCCTTTCTTCCCCTTGCCCAATACTTACAGTGTTTCGGCGTTGCACCGCCAAACACAATCATGCTTCGCTAACCTTTCATGTTCTCATACAAACTTGACGTTCAGCTCTAACCCCTGGCCTAGCAATCATTCATATTATCACAAAGAGAAAGCAGCAGGTACAGATCGTGTGCCTCTCCTCCAGTCATACCAGCATCCTGCGTCGGCCGGCCGTCGTTGAAAATGCTCCGGAGGAAAGGTTTGCTTCAAAATGTAGACAACAACCCTATCATGTTATTTGCTTGTTTCCCACCTCTCTGCTCTACCCATCTGCCAGACAATGACGATCATTTGGCTTGCTGTTTCCTACTTCTGTTTCTGACGGACATTTTAGCCATTTTTTAACTTGCCGATATCCTCCGTTTTGTCTTTGGTTCAACACTATTCTGCCTACTTTGAAGCAGAGACAGAAATAATGATGCTGAATGTATCAGTGAGAGCTGTGTGCAGTAATAATATGGCTACACGCCCTGGTGTGCCAGTTTGTACAGTCGACTCCTGATATAACGGACACCATTGTGCAGTAGATTTAGGTCTTTATAGCCGATGTTTGTTATAACAGAAATGCACACACACACTATAAGCAGAAAGTCATGACAGGCATGTGGCCCATGACAGTATGACTGCATTTGGATTATATGCGACCACACAAGACTTGGTTCGTTATAATTTTAATATAAATGAAAACTGTTCGCTATAATAGGATTAATTTTTGTATGGGTTCAAACAGGGACCTATCACGCTATATCATGAAATTCGCTATGCGAGTTTGTTATACGTGGAGTCTACTGTATTGGGATTGTAGAGGCTAGAGCGAATGTGAATGTGCACGTATATGTACAATTGTACATGTGTGTACGTGTATGCGCATGGCTATCTCTCATTATGAGTATCTGTTAGGGTAGTGGCCCTAGTGGACTAACGTTACACTGTATGATGATCACTGCACCATCAGCATGACTCTCATGGCTGCTGCTGCTGCTAACTGCACTTTTCTTTATGAAAGCAGTGGCGGTGGCCTTGGCTGGTAGAATAGTGATAGTGATCGCCTTCTCATATACCGATACAGTCATGTCAGTGTTAGCTCCAGAGCGGTTGGGGGTATTTGAACCCGTTTGAAAAAAGAACACCGAGTCACTTGGGAATATACATGATAGTCGTGTCGAGTACTTTTTTCACACTTCAAAGGAGTACACCATGATCTATCAGTGACAGGCCGCCGGTATGTGCAGGTGTGCACTGTTGATAGATGTACATGTACATTGGGGGAGTTATACAATACATGTATACAGTCTACGTCTCCCTGATATACATGCAGTAGCACTTGAACGTTCCCGGCTCTGACAAGGTTGCAAGAACAGGCGCGTAGCACCACTGTTGGAGGCGGTCTGGCCAGAGGGGTTCTTGGGGCTGTCCCCCGGGGAAATTTTGAAATTAGGGTGCTAGGTCCTGCATTCTGGGCCTTCGAAAAAAGGGGTCGGGCGAAAAAGTGGTCCGGCCAAAGCCGGACCGGCTGCTACGCCCCTGAAGAGTTGTGCCAGGTTCACGTGTACCCGGTTGGTTTGTTCACGTGTACCCGGTTGGTTTGTTCACGTGTACCCGGTTGGTTTGTTCACGTGTACCCGGTTGGTTTGTTCACGTGTACCCGGTTGGTTTGTTCACGTGTACCCGGTTGGTTTGTTCACGTGTACCCGGTTGGTTTGTTCACGTGTACCCGGTTGGTTTGTTCACGTGTACCCGGTTGGTTTGTTCACGTGTACCCGGTTGGTTTGAAACCCTAGAGCAGACAATGTATGTGTTGTAGTACGTTATTTTGTGTACGTCGTGTGTACGTCATGTTGGTGCATGCGCGTGTTGCTGTGGTGTGAAAAGCAGTCTTCGTCTTGAGTTCGTCATGTCTAGTTGTGTTTCCGTAGTCGTTTTGCAATAAACAGTCTTTCAAATGTAGTTATCGCCGTCCCTTTGTAGAAGTGTGGAGATGGCACGGGACTGGGAGCAGGTGGAGAAATGGCAGTTACAACATATGTACCTGTAGTGGCTGCTGTGCAGATGAGGTGGCCAACCAAAGGTCTGGGTACATGTACATAGGGTTACAGACTGTTCACAACAGGCATGCTGCTAACGCATTTCTGCCTGTTGTGAAGAGCTACTGTTGTTTTCTGGCTAGTATTACAGCAGCCAGAAATACACTGAAGTAAACGTCATTAGCTATGGTGACAGAGCATTCAGAGCCAGTTCAGCTTGTCATGGACATTCACACGACCACATAGACCTACATGTTTCACCTACCCGTACACGACATACATGTGTGCCAACGACAAGTGCCCTTCATTGAAGGCTGCGGTCAGTCCAGCAGTAATGCCTCCAGGTGCTGTTTCCACCTTGTGCCTGCTCAAGGCGCTAAATACACTTGTAGTACGAAGCCACAGCTCTTGTTTTCGCTCATAGCTAGCTGTTATACTCAATCTCTGTATCCACTACACATGCCGTGACAAGGATTTAGTTTGAGTATGATGGAGTTTTTTTAAGGTTGGAACCTGGTATTGCCATGTCTGTTTTGAACTTTTGAGATTTCAGTACGTCCTGTACATCGATGGCTGGTGTTCTGCTTAATACGAGTTTGGGGTTTTCCAGTGTACTGTAGGGAGTAGGTCTAGCAGACACACCATTATGTAACTTACATTACACACATGTGCGTGCTGATCATCTGCTGTACGAGCACATATGTACTCAAAGCAAAGCCTAGAATGGTTCACATTCGACGGGGCGCGACGAGACACTACGTAAGAGAAAGTGACGAGACCCGATGGGACACTCATGGCACCGATGTGAACACCAGGAACGGGAGCGCAACCGCACTACTGTACGGATCGGGAAGCTACGGGAGAGGTAAATCTGTTCAACTTTTCATACCGCATGCGGGGACGCAAGCGTACGAAATAGCTGCCGCATATGATTTTGAGTGTGAGCAGGAGGCAGCGTCATGGACGGACTCATCCCGATACGCGCAACTGCATCTTTTTTTAGCATTTCGAACAATACACTTCCCATGATAACTCACTGAATGGCTAACACGACAGAGTTGAGTTTTAGCAAGCTAAGCTTTCATGTCACGTGCTGTATTTGGGGATAGTCCAGGAATGTGACAGAAAACTGTTATGGCGCAGCTGTCATGGCTACTTTTTTGGTCTTCACATTTCCGAATACCAGCCATGTGCATGGTCAGCACGTTGCATAACCGTACGAGCTGCATTGTGTGGAACAGGAGAGTCATGATTATCTTCCTGCTGTTAGTCGCACATGTCAACATCCATTTCAGTGCAACAGCTACACCACACGAATGTTTTTGACAAAGTAAACAAGCCAATATCCTGGCTATTAGTTTCATCAAGAGTACGTAACCATGGTAACCCCAAGAGTGTGCAACTCTGGTCTCCGAGCTATGGGTGCCCTGCGATGCCTGCATTACGTAGCGAAGTGACGATTCAGCTGCCTGGATTTGAGTTTTCCTACGGTTTAGCCTCATGCAACGATTTCACGTGCAATACTGGTATGTTCAAAGGCAATGCCTGTGCATGATGCATCGCATACAAAACCATCCAACGTCTCCGAGGAAAGCGGATTTGGAAGCAGGAAGCGGTAGTAGATCAATAATGATGCAATGGTCCACGGTTTGTGGTTGCGCAATGCATGCAGCGCGCCGCGCCAGACCCCATATGCAGAGTTGCATACTCTTTGGGTTATGTACGCTTGATTTTTGCACGAAGGAAGAATATTTTAAATTATGATCGTTGGCCTCAAGTGAAGGTCCCTGGTTCGAGTCCTGGTGCTAAGTCACTTTTTCTTGGCAGACTTTGACTTTTCCTTTTCCATTCCCTGAACTGATGAATATTAAATTTTGCTGAAAAACTATGATAACATTAAATTTCTCCAATACACACTATCGGCACGTACCGGTTTTCAAGTTCAGACGGCTTCCGTTCGATCCGGCCGGCTGATGGATCGTGTCACCGCGTTCGGCAGGTGGCCAGCAGTCCTCCAAGCGAGCAGCAGGGTCTGTAGTGTCGGCAGTAGCCGCTGCAGCACATCCACTTGCTCCGCACTCGCCATCTCCTCCTCTGTGTATTCTGAGAGTCCTTCTTCGTGTACTACAGTGTAGTACGCCATTACATCTGACCACTGACTGTCGCACTGTCGTCCAAATCACTCTCCTCGGACTGTCGGAGTCACTGTCATCTCCTGACAGGGAACTACACCTACACGAACACAGTCATTAGGCTGCAGTCTGAGTCGTCTCCGCTCATACTGCTTCCGCCTATACTATACTACACACGACTTCACTTTCTTTTCTTTAGTCGAAGTAAAAGTTCTGAGCTGTCCAGTCGCGTCACTCAAGTGTGCGCCTCGCAGCCCAGTGTTCGCAGGTCTAGGGCTGCGCAACGCCCGGCGCTACTTGAGTGACGCAACTGGATTTTAGCAGCACTTGACTGCACTCGTAGATCTACTCGTACTTCGTAGTCTGAAAATCTACGAGACCCATGCAACAGCATGCACTCAGCAGCCGATATAATCGATAGTCATTGCCGTATAACGGTGAGTGGAGTATAATCATGTACGAGTACGAGTCATGCACGCGCAGTGCAGTCGGAACAACCGCAAAGATGTGCGTCTGTTGGTCCAACAACCGGCTACATGTTAGCATTGTTGACTTGTTTGTAATTGTATCATGACATGATACAATTACCATCCCATTGTGATGAGACCACCCATAATATAATAACATGGTGGACTGAACTTCGCCGGTCTTGGTCACCCAATACTGCTTGTAGATATCTGGTACATGTAAACCATGGTAAACGTCTGCCCCGCACTGCTACAGACTACGATAGGGGCAAGCATGGGGTTAACGTCTCTTGCTGGAGGGGGGGGGGGGGAGGGAGGGGAGGGGGCAAGGCTGGGGCTATAGCCTAGCTAGGTTCTTGCTGGGAGCAAGATTGGGGCTATGCATATGTAGGGTCTGGCTCGGGGCGAGAGTGGGGGTATGCTCTTGCTGGGGACGAGAGCGAGGGCATGCTCTTGCTGGGGCAGCAGGGGGCAGTATGAATACTACCTATTGCAGTATTGGTCCATGCACGAAGAAGGCAGAAGTAACTCGAGCTGTTTGTAAGGAAGCTCTGTCATTAATTTAATTTTGTGGTATCTTCTGCTCAAAGTAGTCCATATCCGATCGAAACTGCCATGTGCTCTTTTTTTAAATCTTTCGACCCCATGTGCTGCTGTTGTCCAGTATATCAGCGATATAGTCATTTAGCATGTAACACGTAGTTGTCCGGGGTACCCCCCCCCCCCCCCCGCCCGCCATTGCAGCCAGTAATACCATTGTCTTCTTTACACTAGTGTAGCTTTTCTAGCGTGATGATCTTATACTACATGTACTGTGCAGCACAGCGATGATCTTCGCAAGGTTCAACCATCGGCATGTATCCTGCTACCAGCAAGAGTACATGTACATGTCCATCAGACTGAGAATAGACACCTGCTGGCTACGCTTGCTATCACGCTATTCACGCTATTCACGCTATTCACGCTATTCGATCAGTTCGTGGAACAGAATACTAGTAACAGTCGGTATTGCTGGAGCATTGTATTCCTATGTCATCCTATGTCATCCTATGGCTTGTCTCAAGACAAGTTATCTGTGCCGGATCATGGTGGTTGATCTACAATGCTTTTATCTACATTGTACTGAGACATTGTACATGTGCATGGCAACTACCTGGCAGCCGGAGACGTGTCAGCCGATGAGCGCGCAAGTAGGAGCAAGCAACCGAGCACAATGCTCAGTACGCCTCGAATTGTCACCTTTCTCCGAAACACGTCTTTCACTGATGTCTCTCTCCCACTCATACGCCCAGCCAAAAGTACTGTGCAGGTGCAGGGTGGTGTTCACCACCAACACGCTCCGGCGAATGTGGTCTTGATTTTCTTCAAGGCCAATTGTCACGATGTACCAAACGGCATGGACACACATTTGCATGCACATGCATCGCTATGTGGAGGCACCCTACCACTAATACCAGCATAGGGGAGTTGGGGATATCCGTGAAGCAGTCATTTCTGTTCTGAGTTAGGACACCCCCCCCCCCTCGGTCCCCCTTCCCTGATCAGCATGGTATTACGGGCCAGGTTACCTCCCCAGTCTGCGCATCACACCGCCCTGGCCTGCCATACGTGCCAAGCGCGCCGGAACAAAAAAGGCATGTGGTCTGGTGATGTTGAAAGCGAAACACTTCAAGTTGCCGCGGTTCATTGCCCTCGACCGGTGCTTTCACCTCCGTCATGCATGCCTGTGCCGCAAAGCTCGTGTGCGCATGCGTGTATACGTGCATGTACATAATGTATGGTGCGAGTCAGTGCAGTGGATAGTTGCACACATGACAGTGACGTGGGTATCAAACAATCACATGACAGTGACGTGGGTGTGGCCGTGTGGCGCGCAAGGCTGACCTCTTGTGATAGCATTCAGCAGAAAATCAAGAAAATCTGGCATCGGGCTAGGTGCAAGACGCTCCACCGCTGAGCAAAGAGAAGGTCGTCAGGCATGGGACTAGGGAGGTAGCGGAGATAGCTGCTGTGGCTCAGGCTCAGCGGACTCTACCACTGGCTTGAGCAGTCACCAGCTGTGTGTGTTGTACCCACTGGGTCTAATGTTGTACTACATCCCTGGTTCAGTGGTTGTAATGCCAGTAAAGAAGTCAGTGTAGACTGAGTTGTGCACAGGAGCACGGGAACGGCGATACAAGGCTGCTGCATTGGTCTCACTTCACTGAGTTCTCAGCGGCAACGTATGACCGGCATGTGACGGCCATCGCGACAGGCATCATGCACCCGAACAGCTAATACAGCAATGTGCGCGGCAACACACTCTCCACAGGAATCAACCTATACATTACGTCTCCACCCATCAGTTAGTGCCGCTACAACTGACGCTGACTGAGTCTGCGGGGTAGAATATCCTTAGTCCTTACATGTCCTTGTATGTGCCTAAGTCCCCTTTGGCTTTGTACGTCACGCGGGAAGACCTCACCTCACACATACCTTGCAGCACACGAGTGACTGGTGATGTGCACCGTCTGAGCATGGATCAACGCACCCAGCGTCCAGTAATACTCAGCATACATTGCTAGCTAGCTGTGAGCAATGGCTATTGCATGTTCGGCCTCGCTACCATGTACAGGGTGTCTGTTTCGCCACTGCACTGGCTGTAGCTCAGTGTACCTAGCTTAAGTTATAGGACAGTTCAAGGTAGCAGGTTGTTCCTCAGTGCTTACCTCTCTATCCTCTGGCCAGCAGAGGTGCATGGCCTGTCGTTCTGGGGTTAGCTGTGGCGTGTCGAGAACGCACTAGTATACGCTTTATACACCCGACTACAAACAGTCTGTTGGAGGAGAAAAAGGTTTGCAACTACTTGTGCGGCTATCAGTACTGCCTCATTGCTTGACTGTGAGCTAGGAGTTATCAGGACTTTACGGCGGGTAAAGATAACACGTGCTGTTTGACTAACGGACCATTCAGAGCACAGCGTCGAGTTCAAGTCCCTCCCGTCGTTCAGAGCTGGTTTACTTAGGGGTGTGGACGAGTACCAGACCTACAGCCAAGACAGCTGGGAGGTGGGGAGCTACCGGGCAGGTAAGGTCGCAGAGAGTGACCAGGCTTTCAGAAAGTTACCTGGCTGTGTGTATGTTCTTATTCCTTTTCATCCAACTATTGTCTTTCCGAAGTCGCACCAACCTCTTCTTCATAATAATTATTATTGTCTTTCCAGTTCCCTCAACGTGTCAACGTCTCAACTGCTGGTAGATTAGAGATCATAACGTGCCTATTTCCAACCCTGGCCGTTAGGAGTGAGCTGCCAGAGCCTTTTAAAGGCTTCCTTTGCTGCAAAGATCACCAACAAGGCCTCCTCCATTTATCTCTCTATCTAGTGTTAACGTTAACATGCATGTCATGTATGGGCTTCTGTGGATGAGGAGCCTTGAGGAAGCCTTGAGGTTGATCTTATCAGCACACGGGGCTAGGTGTATGAGGAGGCGTGGAGGGTGATCCTTGCCACAGGAAGTCTCTGACAGTATGGTCAGAAAGGGGACAAGAAGCAGTCTCTGACAGTATGGTCAGAAAGGAGACAAGAAGCATGCGAAGTCTCGTCCAAAGTATACCCTCGCGAGGAGGTGCTATGGAAGGACACGTGCCTGCCTTCGAACTGTGCGCGCCGTATTGTTGCAATGTTGGAAGCAAGATAGCGACGACTGGTGAACACAGCAGTGACACAGTCCAATATGGTCATGCTGATTGGCTGTTGCTTTCACTGTGAATACACATTCGTGCGTAGTTGATCAGGTGTAGCGGAAACACTCCCCGACTCGCGAGAGAATGGGCAGCGTTCGCACCTGTACACGACAGTGTAGTAGCGGCTGAGAGTTCACAATAGGGCTTGAAAGTGCTACGTCACAGCATAGCAACAATTTCAAAAATTCAAAAACTGGATCCACTTGGATCCAGTTTTTGTATGGATCCAAACATTTCAAGCGGTCTTACCCACAGCATGGTGATGTAGCCAGTGAAACTGACCGATTTGGCTACTGGGGGCGGGGTTACAACTGGTGGCGAAATAAAAGTCACACCTGCATGCGACATGAGTGGGTTGCTATGCACCCACATACTTAGGCAATAGCAAAGTCACACCTTAGTGGATCCAAAAATAGAAATCTGATGTCAACTTACTACTCCCTGGCCGTTTTGACGTCATCACTTTCAAGCCCTATATGCATGCACATATGCATGCACATGATCGGATTTCACTGAGAGTTTACAATATATGTATGCACATGATCGGATTACAATATGCATGCACATGATCGGATTTCATTGAGCAGTACTGCAGTTACCATGATTACATGGGTCATGTAGTGATGTACATCCAAGTACATGTAGATATTATTAGTTACAGGTACGTATTCGGACTGCATGTATTACTGAAGCGAAGGAGACATGAACGCCCACGACTCATTGCCGTCCTTCGTACATGGTGACCATGATAACGAGCATCCACGAAGAAAACTCAAACCAGACATCATGAATATTCAGGACTAAAACAGAAAAATCAACAAGAAATCTGGCAGCGGTTTTCATGGTTTTGCGCACATCAGCGAAACCACCTCGTTGCTAAGGTACGATCCTTGTTTCCGATTCCAGTGTGTTGTTGCTTTGTGCTGCGTGTGCGTGTGCGTGTGCGCGTGTACGTTCATTTCACTTTTTAGGCGAGGAAGTTTTGCACAGAACAAGGGCGGCTTAGCAGCGCATAATCGATCATCATGCATCTATCAACCGTGGCTGGTGCATGTGCATTGCTGGTGATATCTGCACTAGGAAGTAGCCATGCACAGGCGCAAACTCGCCTTTTGGATGAAACAATTGTTGAGGATCGGTTGGCTGCTGGTGGTACGAAGGACTACACGTTCGACGTCCAGGACGTGCAGAATCCATCGGGCGGATTGGCCTCGCCCGGTGCCGTCCAACCAGATCTCATTCGCCTGATGGTGTCACCTTGCAATGGTGGAAACAACCTTCGATGGCAGGTCCTTCACGAAGGCGAAGTTGACTATGAGTTCAATCCATCCGACCCCGCTAACAATAATAACATCGAGAACAATCGTATGGTGGCACTGGGAAAGCGCAAGAAGCGCCAGGTGCAGGCGGTTGCTCCTCCCCGGCCTCTGCCGACAAACTTCCAGTACGAGAAGCAGGAACTTGATGAATTCACTGGTCTAGGCAAGGCTCTGACTCCGCAAACTGGTCTCTACGTGAAGCCCGACGCTAGCGATGGAAAATACAGCCTGAGACTAACTAACAACGGTGCTGAACCCATCAAATACATGACACTGCTAAGTCGTCGGCAGAGACAAACAGTTGTGCCGGAACTTCCCGATGTCCAGAATGTGAAAGTGGAGAAAGTAAGGCCAAAGAGTATTCACATCTCGTGGCGACCAGTGCATGGAACAGTGGCTGGGCAGAACTCCGGTGTGGACTATACAGCGCATGCATTCCCCGTGGATGAGCTTCAGTCCGGCGACAACGTAAACAGTGAATGTGGTGTGAAGAGGATAAAGTCCCGCAGAGATAGTACGGGCAAAGTAGAGCCAGCGGGGTTCCCAACGAGTGGTTCAACATCGGCAATGTTCAATGACCTGCAGCCTGACACGATGTACAGAATGAACGTTCTGGCAATGAACACTACAACTGGAAAAGACATTGCCTATATCGGCGTCGAAGCAAGAACATCACCAGCAGGACTTCAAATGCCGCTGGAGCGAGACTGGGGAAACTTGAGCGTTGCAGCCAACTCCAAGCAAATCTACACGTTGGACCTGACGAACAGGCCAATCAGCGCCAACACTGGTCTCAACCAGCTGGGTGTGACAGTGTTTCCTTGTGATGGACTGGTCACATGGTCCATGACTAGAGATGGTATTGATGTGCAAGCATTCCAAACAGCAGAGCTTGGTGATGATGATGCTGGTGGGGAAAGTAAGTACTAGCACCCACTGCCCCCTTGTGAGTGCTGCTGCTGCTGCTGCTGCTCACACTGGTGGTGGTGGTGGTGGTGGTGGTGGTGGTGGTGGTGGTGGTGGTGGTGGTGGTGGTGGTGGTGGTGGTGGTGGTGGTGGTGGTGGTGGTGGTGGTGGTGGTGGTGGTGGTGGTGGTGGTGGTGGTGGTGGTGGTGGTGGTGGTGGTGGTGGTGGTGGTGGCGGCGGCGGTGGTGGTGGTCAGAACATTGCTCTTGCATTGTGTACTAATGCAGCTGCCAATTTTGAATCATGTGTTTGTGTGGATGTGCGTGGATGTGTGTGGATGTGCGTGGATGATGTGTGTGGATGTGTGTGGATGTGCGTGGATGTGTGAATGATGCGTAGTCGATGACAGCGTATCAGATGACGACTCCAGTGAAGAGTCGGCCGACGATCGGAAACGCCGCCAGAACAATGACATGGAGGAAGCGGATGGCCAAGACAATGAGATGGAGACAACCGATGCACCCGACAATGACAACGACAACGAGAAAATGATCAAAGAGATTCGACAACAGAGAGCTAAGCCTCTTCCGGCTGGTACCGGAAACCGCGCCTCCACCGGAGGCCAGACCGTCTTCTCCTACAATGAACTGGTAAGTACATGATGTCACGTACACAGTGTCTCTCAGCGTACAGAGGAGTGTGGTGAGTGTACACAGTGTGGTGAGTGCAGAGATGTACCTGCACACCTAGCAACCTAAGGTCAGGACCATTAGTATTCACTAGTGACCAACACTAGCCACTAGTACTCACTAGTGACCAACACTAGCAACATGCTCAGTCATGTGCGGGGATAGTGAACATTTTGGTCATGTGCAGGGAGGTCGGCTTTAATAGCACATTGATATTGGGAGGGTCCCCGACCAGATTGGGACGTTTGGCAGGCACTCATATGGCATACAGCCTGAGTACAGTGAGTGTGGCGGCGGGTTTACAGTGAGTGTGGCGGGGGTAGCAGGGGTACATGTGAACCTGCTGAGTAGATCTACACCGTATCAAATACCATTTTTTCCACAGTAATAGTAACACTGGAGTAAAAGCTGTACCCAGATACCCAGATTGTTTGTCACATAAAACAGACATTTACCCTGGTGGACATTTACCCTGTATGTCACTGTTCATTTAACCATCACCCTAGTATAAGCCGCCGCCGCCGCATTGTCATGTTTGGGGTGGATTACGTGTGTTTAAAGTGAGGAGGCTAATACTCCGGAAAATACAGTACTTTTTAAACTGTCTTATCTGTCAATCCCATAGGCTGGCAGTTAGGCAAACTGTCCTCCGCAGTCAACGAAATAAATACTTGAAGTGAATAACTTTGTCACGTGTTTGTTAGCACTGCACCGTCTATTTGAGTTGTTATTGCCGCAATGCGGTTCATGACCTTTCACGTTTCCCTCCGGGCATGTGTGGGCACGCACGTGTGTGTGTGTGTGCAGATGAAAGAGCCTGCACTGTATCAGCTATCAGTGTACAACACACAAAGCAGGCCAATCCGTTTCGACATGTATGCATCAACAAAGGATCCTCTTGATAGACCCTATCCTGTCTTACCCGTAGATCAACAAGTCAAGGTATGTATGGCGTCAGTGCTGCTGCTGCATTCAGAGTATTTGAGGTATGTGTGCGTGTTTTGGCCCACTTTGGGGGGGGGGGGGGAGGGTGATGTAGCCCGCTGTGCGTTCCTAGTCTCTGTCCGCAGCTATCCAGTCTTTGGAAGGCAGAACACTGTAGCAAAACATGGTGTACTGTGAAAGCCTATGGAATCACTCTGGTTTCCATGCCTATGGAATCACTCTGGTTTCCATGCCTATGGAATCACTCTGGTTTCCATGCCTATGGAATCACTCTGGTTTCCATGCCTATGGAATCACTCTGGTTTCCATGCCTATGGAATCACTCTGGTTTCCATGCATACTAGTAGCCACTACAAGTAGCCACTACATCACTGGGCGGCGGGGGTACTAGTACGATTACTCTACTGTTTTTTGTTTGTTTTGAGTTTATCTGTGATTCCTTGTGCCAGCAGCAATCACAGTTGTTTCTGTTCCATCTTCAACTCAAAACAAACCAGTGCTCAGTGTTGACCACGGTGCCTGGAATGAACAATTTTGAGAAAAAAACAATGTCAGGGAGTGACCTCAGAGTGCGGCCCAGACCCCTCACCTACGATTGTTTGCTGCCCTATCTTCTCTGGTCGTGTGTCAAGCCTGCATGTCTGGAAGCAGCATGCAACTCCCTTCAAGCAGGCGCTGGCATAATTATTGCAGTTTGCTGCTGCTGTTGTTGTCGTCATTGTTTTGATAGTCTTGTTGCTGCCGTTGCCATTGATTGTCTTGACCAAGATCATCATCATCTTTGTGTGTGTGTGTGTGTGTGTGTGTGTGTGTGTGTGTGTGTTTGTTGTGTGCTTGAACATTCCCACATGCTCGTGCACGAAAACAGGCTGTGACCGTGGATAAGAACTATGCAGAGATTGGCTGGCAGCCCAGTGCTAGCAATGATCCCCTGGCCTACTGTATTAGTGCTGTGCCCCGTCAGCAGATCACAGCACAGTATGTACAGAGTAGTACGTGTGGATTGAGACGTGCACCAGTCTACACACCACCACCGCCGATACCTGATGCCGTTCCAGTGAGAGTTACACCTAACCGACAGCAACCGCCGGCACGACCTGATCTGTTCCAGTCACCAGTACAAGCAAACTTTCCTATTCCGTCTGAAAGACCAGGTGACACACAGCAGCAGCAACCAAACAACAACAACATTGTCTTACCTGGTGCAGCTGAGAATGTTCCACTCTTCGACCATCCGTTCAACCCGAATCAGTTTGCCTCGGATCTTATGCCGTTGGTGCAGCGTACACGCGGCTGCGGTACAGACACGCGTGGGCGGCTGGGTGCACTCAGCGAGGGCGTTGAGTACAACGTAGAAGTTCTGGCCATCAACACGCGCACTAACAAGCCTCTGGCATATACCAGTGCACTGGTGAAGACTGGCGGTGGAGCAATGCTATCCTGCAGTATGCTAGTGTCACTGCTGCTCTGTGCTCTTGCACTACTCTTGTAACTCGTATTTCTATCATACTGAAGATACACACTGGCATACACTATTGTTATCATACTGCACACTGGGGTGCACAGATACGTGCACCCAAGCCCCTCATGCACACGCACCCAAACACATGCATACACGTTCACACGTTCCGTGATTCTCACGTTTGTTTACACTTTATATCGGTAATGGCACACACACTGCTCCTTGCATGCACGACGACCGATAACATTCAGAACAACCCCAAGTTAGGCTATTCCCCAGAGATTCGCCAAAAGACACTTTTCAAATTTCGTCTCCATATTCTAGAACGATTATACGATATACATAATAATTATGATGTACAATGAAACTCCCACTGTTCAGTATAACACAGAGTAAATGAGAACATAACAGTGTGTACATTCTATCCAAGGTACTTGGCAACATGCCACATCACTGCCGGTCACGGAAATCTGTGCTACATTTGTACCTTCCAGAATATTATCAGTGTGTCGACTATAATCCATCCAAACACCACTCTCCCACCTGGGCACCAAGGTGCTATGGGTATTAGCAAGAGTATTGGGGGGGGGGGGGGGAGGAGGTATATACTCTTGGTATTAGTGTACATTCTTTGTAGGACATAGTCCACTGTCCACTGTTCACTGTCCACTCTGGTTAGCTTAGTCCCCTGATGATTGTGTAAGAAGCAAAAAGCTCAGAGTAGTGACACACATGATATTTCTACTGAACCTTGTTTGTATCCAAGGTCTATGTCAGAGGTTGAATATCAATGACAAGGTCTAACGTTATGTCAGAGGTTGAATACCAATGACTGGAAACAGATAGCAGTGTTCTGTTTCTTCCATGAAAGAAATAATATTACAAGCATACCACACACCCTTCTCTTTGCATCCAATATAATAATTATGATATCATCAGATACATAATATCATGTATCGGATGCAAAGAGAAGGGTGTGTTAGATCTCAAGTAGATCGACTTCTAACTTAGAGCACTGAGCTCTTTCACAGAGTATACTACAGCACGCCGTGTGATAGACATGGAGAATAAGTCGAGATGGGATGGGAGACGGGATCCCCACACCCTCACCCACGCGCGCGCGCGCGCGCGCGCGCGCACACACACACACACACACACACACACACACACACACACACACACACACACACAAACACACACCATGTACCATGTACCATGTATACGCCCGTCGCAAGACAAGCACGCAAATCTGCAAATGCACTGGATGTGCACCCACAGATTTTCTCTTATAGCAACGATAGCGAACAAGATCTGAATGAGACAGATCGACTTGCGCCAGATAACTGTCTAATCCACACAACTGGCGAAGCCACGTGAATCGACCACCAATGCACGCCTGGTCTACACGGAGTACATCGGCATAAACAGCCAAGACAGTTACCTATGCACACCCTACACTTGCTGGGGTAACCAGTATAGACAACACTCTGCTTTGATAGAAGCAGACACTAGATGCACTGGTACCTTGAAGTGAAATTGGAGTTACTTTACCAACCAGCCTCGGCTACTGAGTACTGGGAACCCAGAGCCAACAGACATACCAACAACCTCAGCCATGAAAGCTATTATAGTAACGACACTGTCCACACATACACACACACACACACACACACACACACACACAATTGCCGAAGAAATGATCACAGACAAGGTACGCTGAACATAATGTTAGCAGCTTGTGCTGGGATTACAATCATTCAACAGCTTGCAAGGCTTGTCGACTATCAGCTCGGTCTTCCAGCACACAGCAAATTCCAGTGGCATCAAGAGTGCATAGCCGCAAGGGAATGCAACTCTGCTGCTGCTGCTGTACATAGTTTGAAGTACATGTATGCATGTATGGTGTCACGTAGGCACAAACTGGCGAATCAGCTGGGCCGTTCTGCCAGAATTGATCTGCCACGCTTTACAGCTTCTAACTCCGATTTTTCACTGTGGCTTTTGATGGTTCTGTACATGATGCTTTGTGCACAGGTACAGTACTACCTTGTAACATGCTGTCAAAATCGAAAAACATGTTAAACTACCAAGCAAGGCTTCTGTGTATATAGGTACTGTACAGTACTAGGATTGCATTTCAACCTACTGTATCATACACTACTGTATCATGCACTACTGTATCATGCACTACTGTATCAGGCATGAAATCGCTGCGCCTAAACGTAGGAAAACTCAAATCCGGTCAGTTTGATCCTCATTTCAATAATGCCACAATGAACAACAATAGCTTGGAGATCAGAGATGCACACTCTTGGAGTTTTGCAGTCTTGGGGGCAGCACTCTTTCTCTCTGGCCAGTGAATCCCGATTTGGGATACAACATTTTGTTCATTTTCTTTTGTTGACACACACCACACCACACCACATGCACTCGATTTTGGAAACGAGCCTGGAGAATGAAAAAGAGAAAGGTGTGTGGGATCACAAACGTCGGGAATTAACCAGCTTCCTCTCAAGTGGAATTAACTGCACATAAACGTACCACTACACCACAAAGGACACGAACACGCGCACGCACACACACACACACACACACGGACACACACGCACGCGACCTTCAACAAGTATTATCTATTGGGCACTCAGTACTAAAATGACGGAGTGAAGATTACGCACACGAAGAAATCGCTTGAATAGGCGTGTGCTTGGGGAAAGTGAGCTCAGTCAGGAAGAACTGTCTCAGGGCATCACGGCATGCCTACACACAAGCAGTAAGTGAGACAAAGAAGAAGAAGAACAAGTTAACAACAGCACCCGCACCCACAATGTACTGTAGAGGCAGAAAATTTCGTCGGTCAAAAATTTCGTCCAACTCCTAAGAAAGGGAGTTCGTCCGGTTGAAAATTCCGTCCATGGATCATAAGAGTGTATAGAAAAGCTGGACAAATCGACATTTTAGTCCGGCACTTAATTTAGTCCAAAAGTTCCTTGGACGAAAAAGACGAAATTAAATTCCAGACGAATTTTTCTGCTTATACAGTATACAGGTACGTACACTTGCACACACACTTGCACACACACACAAACACACACACACACACACACACACAAACACACACACACATGCACACACAGCATCACCAGGACAGTAGAGGTGATTAGAGACAATGACTTGGATTGAAGTGTATCCAGTAGGCAGTGTACAGTGAAGCAGAACATAGTGCATGCTGAAAACTGAGGAACGTTTGCACCGGTTTTAGTTTGCGATATGCGTGCACAGACCAATTCACACCTGGAAATGTTTGCGATTGGAGTTCATAAGTTTTATTTCTGCAGCTCTACATTTCGCGCCGGCTTACTTTTGCGATTTCACATCCATCATGGTGAAAGCCGCAAAGGCTTCCCAGTTTACAGTAGTACTTCTTCCACATCACCACATCACATCACCACATCAACATACCACCAACATACCACCAACATACCACCAACATACCACCAACATACCACCACACCATCCCCACACCACCACATCAACATATCAACACATCAACATACCACCACACCATCCCCACACCACCACATCAGCACATCAACATACCACCACACCACACCACCACACCACACCACCACACCATCCCCACACCACCACATCATTACACCACCACATCATTACACCACCACATCATTACACCACCACATCACTACACCACCACATCACCACACTTTGCAGTCAAACCACCCATGCTAAAGATAAAAAAGGTGCTCGGCGGAAAAGGAGCGAAACTCAGCCGTTGCCATGGAAACGAGAAGCTTTACACACAACTTCGGCGGAAGGGGTTGAAAATTGCGTAAGTGACTCTTACTTTAAAGAAGATACCTCCAGGCAAAAGAGATACAGTTGAACATCGATTATCCGCACATCGACTATCCGACCATTCGATTATCCGTAACAGTTTTTTTGGGCGCACGTGCCGTAGAGTACGCACTGTGCATGTAGTGAGCCATTCAAAAAATACGAAAATTTTGAAAAGTAAAAAGGTCATACATGTACATGTACATGTTTCTTATCCGGAACATTTGCCTTATCTGAACACCGCCTGACAGTTGTCTGCCCAGAGGTGGTCGGATAATCGATGTTCAACTGTAGTGGCAAACATCCGTGCTACGTTAGTGCACGCTTTGCAAACATGTCTTACACTGCAAGTCATGGTAGCAACTGCTGAAGATTGATTTAGAACTTTGGCAAGCAACAGCTGTTGCACACCCAACAAGCTTTTACACCTCGACCTTCTGAATGCAGCCCTCAGCCCTCACTTCTGAATGCAGCCCTCAGCCCTCACTTCTGAATGCAGCCCTCAGCCCTCAGCACACAGTATACTGAGTATAGAACAGTGTGACTTTAGAAATAGTAGCTCTTACCTCCTCTTCCGCACTTTCTAACGTCCGGCCAAAACCTACAACAACAACAGCAGTGGTGCCAGCAACAGTAGGGGCAGCAACAGCAGCAGCAACAGCAACAGCAGCAACAGCAGGAACAGCAACAGCGTTAGCATCAAAGACAGCACCAGCAGCGTGAGCAAAATTAGCGATCCAAATTACACCGTCAGAGGAGACTGAATCATCAAGTTGAGGACAGACACAGCTGCCATTGCCAGCAGACACAGTTGCCATTGCCAGCAGACATGCACAGCTTACTGAAGAGCATTCTACACATACCTTTCCACCATGCATAGTTAGACCATCACCAATTCTCATGTAACGTATACAGTCTACTTTGCGTATAACGACACTCGGCGGGGCATCAGAAAAGTGTCCTTATTTGCGAAGTGTCGTTATACCCGAAGTCTCATTATACGGCAGGGAATTTTCTAGAACCGCCCCAACCGGTTTTCGACCGGTTGAAATTGTTGGCGACCGGTTGAAAAGGTACAAATCAGTTCCAACCGCCTGTACTTTTCTGTGGGTGAATGGAGCTGTGAATGGTCAAACGCTTTTTTCTGGACGGATACTTCCAGCGAAGCCGCGTGGGCTGGTACTAGGGTCACGAGTTTGTACGGTCGAACCGCGTCATCGAGCTGTAGCAACGGCGTTGCTACAGTCCAACAGCTCCGCGCGACATCGCTTTCACACCTTTTTAGCCGCCATCACACTTCCACAAGTAAGTTCCGGTACCGCGGTAAGTACATACTTGGTTGGAGCTGGAGGTGAGTGTGGATCCATGAGTTCACACAACTTTCACGTTCTTGGGCGCGGAGTTTACAAACTTTTCGTTGCACCGGAAAGAATGCACATGAATGTATGTCTACAGTACCGGTACTTGGGGTTTGAAGTTAGTACAACGTCGTAGACTGTTCCATGCTCTCGCTCCAAAAGTGCCCCTTTCTAGGTGATCTGCTTGCAATAAATAGTCTTCGACTTCTCGACGGCAGTTCAGTTCTTCTTCTCTAGAAGCTGTTTTTGATCATGGACTCGGAAGATCTTTCAGAAGAAGATAATTATTTCGAGGAAAGCAGTGATGACGGTAGTACCCCAGAACGTGAAGTGGTCGACATCAGCGGCTCATCGGATGACGGAGCTCCTCCTGCTAAACGCTTGCGCCTTCAAGTTCCTCGCTGCGTGGAGCAGTGGCAGGGTACTTACGACTGGTTAGGTGTTGAGGAATCCAAAGGGACGATCGTCCTGTTTTGCAAGTTGGGCCGTCTGCATGGGAAAGTCGCGCGGGGAGGAAACAAAGTTGATGCTTGGATCGATGGGACCAGTCGGCATCGACTCTCCGGGGTGACAGACCACTTAAAATCGAAAATGCACGAGGCCAGCAAAGTCATCGAGAAGACTGCCGTTGGTGTGAAGGAGAAGGGCGGAAGATCACTTCCAGCAATGCAGCAACGGGCATTGCTGAAAGCTACCAGCGCGAAGGACCAGGCAGTGCTCAAGCTCCTGAAAGCACTGTACTGGCTCTCGAAGGAGAACATCGCCATGGACAAATGGCATGGAATGACAAATGAACTATACGACGTTCTGGGAGTCGATGTGTCCGCAGCTAGAAGGACCAGGAATGCCCTCTACACGTCCACTGTCGCCAGAGACGAATTCCTGGAGGCATTGCACGGAGTTCTCCTGCAGCGAGTGAAGGCCACAGTCGCCCAGTGCACCTTCATGAGTGTAGTTGCTGACGAGTCAACAGACGTCAGCAATGTTTCCCAGCTTGTGCTGCACCTTCGGCTGGTGAAGGATGGCGATGTGGACGTACTGTTCGGGGGCATTGTGCCGTTGCTGGAGGGCTGCAGTGCCAACAATCTTGTTACTGCGATCAAGAACTGGGCAAGGGAAGCTGGTGTGGACCTTGCTAAGTGCCACCTTGGTTCTGATGGGGCATCCACCTTTGCAGGAAGAATAAACGGCGTCGCTGCACAGCTTCAAAGGGAGTATCCCCTTATGAAGTGGATCCACTGTGTGGCACATAGGGAGGCTCTTGCTGCGTCAGACGCCATCAGTCAAGTGCATTACCTGAAGACCGTTTTCGAACCCGCATTGGCAGGAGTCTACCGCCACTTTGACAACTCGCCGGTGAAGGAAGCTGGTCTGCATGCCATGCAACAGATTCTGAACGAGCCATCAATAAAGTTGAAGGAACCATCGTCTGTCCGCTGGCTGTCCCATGAAGGCTCAGTCCGGGCATTCCGGAAAAGCTTCAAGTCTGTTGTGCGGGAGCTCAGAAGACAAGCAGACGAGAAGAACGATGCTGCCGCTGCAGGATGGCTGCGGAAGGTGAAGACGTTCCGGTTCGTAGCTTCCCTTCTACTCCTTGGAGATGTCTTTCCCATACTTGCTACACTCAGCAAGACTTTCCAGCTGCGGAATCTCAATTTCGCAACACTGAAGCCAGCGCTGACCATTGCCGTCACCTCCCTCATTGAGAAGGATGGAGAGCAGTTCGCTAAATGTGCAACTTCACCGGTGTACTGAGCTTGAAACTGCGGGAGTATCGTTCACCCGATCAGACCATGACATCCAGGTCTACAAGCGAACGGTGGGCACACCATACCTGGAGGCACTCGTATCAGCATTGGAGAAGAGATTTCCCTTGCTCCCCTGTTTGTCTGCCCTTGAGGTGTTCCAGCCCAGCCGTGTTCCTGTCGCTAATACCCACGACCTTGCTGAGCATGGTTGCCAAGAGCTGACAACGCTGCTGGATGCTGTCTCTGACGCAGACACGAATTTCGTGAATGCCGATGAAGCTCGCCAAGAATTTCGGCATCTGAAGTCAGCCATCAAAGTCTGTGACACTCTGCAAACCATCGACAATGCTGCGCAGTTCATGGCCACCATCCAAACCCCACGGTTCACTGAGCTGAGGAGTGAGATCCCCAACCTGCTTCGCCTAGCAGACTGGGGTCTGGCATTGCCACTGTCAAGTGTAGAGTGCGAGCGGGACTTCAGCCGGATGAAGCTCATCAAAACACCTCTTCGGAACCGCCTGAAGAACACAACCTCTCCCGACTCATCCGGATCTCGGTTGACAGTCCGCCCATCAGCGAGTATCCGTTCGAAGAAGCTCTGCTGCTGTGGCACCAAGTCAAGCAACGCCGGCTACGAGGAGGACAAGCAGTGCAACAGGCTCTTTTGCCCAGTGCAACTGATGCCTCTGCAGCTCTTGGTGCTGACGGTGCGACTCCTGCTGTCGATACTCCTCCTGATGCTGCCACTGATGATCCAGGATTTGCAGCCTCTCCAATTCCTGCTGCTGCTGATTCTTTTGTTGCCGTCGTTGATGGTGCTGTTGCTGATGCTGATTCACCTGCAGATGTTGTTGCTGACGATGATGCTCCTGCAGATGTTGTTCCTGAAGATGATGCTCCTGCTGATGCTGTTGCTGAAAAGGGCCCTTCTGTGGTTGCCACTGTGCAGTCTGCGGGTGCTGCTCCTGCTGCTGTATGTGCGCCTCAGGCACCGAGATCATTTCGGCAAGCCTCCATATCCTCCTTTTCTCCAAGCCCGCTAAATGAGCGGCATACTTACCTGGTTACATCTGGCGTGGCCATACTGCATAAAAATTCTCTCTTGTGTGATACGCTTATTTGAGTTGATTCATAGTTCACTTTGTAGACTTTGCTGACGTAGTGCTCCAATATGCTTTCTAGTTTGGCATAATCACTTCTGTGATATCCCTACCCTCAGGCTCTGTAAAGTCCATTTCCTCTGCTAATATCTTTGCTACACTCCAGCACCAAGAAATCTGTTAAATTGCTGTCGAGTGCTATATTTGGGTTGTATTTTGAAAACATTTTCCGGGGGGGGGGACCCCCGCACCCCCCGACACGGGGTGTGTACGGGTTACAGTTTATGGGACTTTGCTCTGGGCATGGAAATTCTGTTGTTATTCGCGAATTGTCGTTATATCCGCAGTCGTTATAAGCGAAGTTGACTGTAGCAGCAGCAGCTGGCCAGTACGCAGCACTGGCATGCATTGATTGTCAGATTGTGTTGGATACTGTCACAGTACCACATAGCTATGTGATACTCTCACAGCACCACATAGCTATGTGATACTCTCACAACAACACATAGCTATGTGATACTCTCACAGCAACACATAGCTATGTGATACTCTCACAGCACCACATAGCTATGTGATACTGTCACAACAACACATAGCTATGTGATACTGTCACAACAACACATAGCTATGTGATACGGTCACAACAACACATAGCTATGTGATACGGTCACAACAACACATAGCTATGTGATACTGTCACAACAACACATAGCTATGTGATACTCTCACAGCAACACATAGCTATGTGATACGTAAGCAGTGGAACTGCTGACTGGTGCACTGTGTTTGCTGAATTGCAGCACATGGTTGAAAACTGAATGAAAAGCATGGAGTAGAGTGATGGCCACCACAGCCCATGAACACAGCCTATGAACACTGTGTGAATCCTCAGCATAGTGACCATAGGCCGAGATCAGAGCGAGTAGTGCTAGTAGAGAGAGCTGCAAACAAGCCGCCACGCTATGGCAGAATACAAGACAACCCATACCTTTCCCGATGGCTGTTGTACCACAATACACAGCAACGTAGTAGACAGAATGTGCAGTTTTATGACCGGCATCATTCAACAACCTATGAAGCATACGCGTAGACACGAGAGAGAGAGAGAGAGAGAGAGAGAGAGAGAGAGAGAGAGAGAGAGAGAGAGAGAGAGAGAGAGAGAGAGAGAGAGACAGAGAGACAGAGAGAGAAAGAGAGAGAGAGAGAGAGAGAGAGAGAGAGAGAATGAAGAGGCAGATTGCCGGACCCTGTACCAAACGGAATCCTGTATTGACCTGACAATTTCCATGCACTGACGTACTGACGGTGCTGCCATTGAAAAAATCATCGCAAGAAGCAGAATTCTGCCAAGCACGGAATGAGGAAAGAATTTTTGGACCAAATCTCAAGTTTACGTAAAACAAACAAGCTAATAAGTTAATTGGAAACATTGAAAACGGCTGGGCACAAGTTATGCGTTAGAGTCCACCAACTAAACCAGATTTTGAACAGTCAGACGTGCACAAGGTTTACTAAGAAGTATAGTTGCGCTCGCTGAAATCCGACCCAAAGTGCAAAGCTAGCGCCCTGGACCAGTTCCCATTACATCATTGTATGTGTACACTAGCAGCACCCCAGGCCAGCGTTGCCTGGCCGAATGTGGCATGCGGGCCGCGGGTGAAGCAAGTACATGAACAGCACACGTGCTCAGCACGTGGTGGTGGCCAGACCGCTGAAGTCCTGGTGAGGGAGGTTCTTCATGGTTGGAAGGAGGAGAGACGTCTGTTACGCCTTCGGGAGGCTGGTCAGGGTTGTCCATCACGTGGTGGCGGATGAAGCGGCTCAAAAAATTCATAAACTTACGAACAAAAGTGCGATGCGCTCTTCACTGCAGATCAGATGCAGAGTGCAGTCAGTGCAGATCTTTTGTATCCTTTTGTTGCAGATGTTTCTATTTGCAGAGAACGGTTCACGTGGTCCGCAGCGCTTGTGCGGCTGCTAGTGCTACCTATGGCCTAGGCTAGGTGGCTACATGATTCGCACGCTTCGCGTGCTCAGTGCTTCTGCGCGCGGCTGCTACTGCTACTCGTACTGATCGTGTCTGCTATAAGCGCTACCACCTACACTGTTCGCACGCTTCGCGTGCTCAGCACGTGGTGGTGGCTACACGATTCGAACGCTTCGCGTGCTCAGTGCTTCTGTGGCTGCTTCCGCTAGCTATACGATTCGCACGCTTCGCGGGCTCAGTGCTTCTGCGGCCGCTAGCTACACTGTGCTACACTGTTCGCACGCTTCACGTGCTCAGGGCAGCGCTGCTCCGCAGCGCTTCAGCGTGACATACACACACACGTCACAGGTGCCTCTTCTTTATAAGGAGCGTGACACACACACACACACACACGTCACAGGTGCCTCTTCTTTATAAGTAAAGATGTGTACGTCCAGCCGCATTCATTCCACTGCCAGGGCGTCAAGAGCCGTGGAAGTTGAGGGCGCCAGCTTTGCACTTTGTGTCGGATTTCAGTGAGCGCTGTAATTCACTCCAATCTGTACAACACTCATGCTGACATTAAATTTTCGCTTGCACACTCGTAAGTTTGATCGATCTGGCGTTTCAGGCCACTGTTTGATCTTGCTGGCAAGCTTGCATTCTATCAATGTTGTCTCGCCAGTTTTCAGTGGCGAGCCATGACCGAAAGTTCAACTGTGCAAAACAAGACGATAATGAGCGTGAGGCGAGTTATGATTTCCGTCGACTGTTGCTTTCCACTCTCCATCGTCTTGCCTCGATCTAGCATTATGTTCAAGCAACTGCTCCTCGCCCTGCACGACCAGGCTCACCTAGGTTTCCACCGCCCACACTGTGTCCCTACCTGCTGGGTTCTCTTTTTTGCATGCTAAAGAGATCAAACAAAGCACTGAGCATTGATGAGAGGATGCTTGGAGAGAAAGAACTGCAAGAACTCTTTTGAACTTAAGAGCAAATGCTCGTGAGAATATCATCGAAGTCAAATAAGCGGGGAGCAGATGAAAAGCGGTTCCCTACGCCAACAATCAACAATCGCCGGACGCTTGTGACTATGTTTGTTCTCCTTGCTCACAAACTTTGATGATGACGTCACACTGGTTTGATGATGACGTCACACTGGTCAAGAGCGATATGCATGTAGTGGATCCACTGTGCATCCCTGCATCAATCCCTGCATCAAGCAGAATCCGGTCATATCAGGACAGTTTCCGCTGCACCAAGGGCGGCGTCCGGTTAGGGCAGGCTTTACTGTAAAAGTCACCATTAACATCACAAAAAATCCGGGCTTATTCGAACCTGGACTTACGGTAAGTCCTCCTTGATCTGTCTGTCATCCAGTCATTTAGAGTGCGTAGCGCTTACATGATGTAACAGGCTGATTTAGCCCGTCGTCCCATGCTGAACTAGCCCAACCCCAGACCCCGAGCTCAACGTATGCCCAGGACTTATGGATTGTGGCTCTGGAACCTGCGGGGATTTCGTCATGGACAGTCTCTGTTCTTGGCATCTGTTCTACTGACTTTTCCTTCAGTGAAGGCTTTATGTTTTCTTGGGGAAAGAAGTCTGCACAACCTGAAAGGTAGCAGCAGCAATGTCAACAGGCACTGGTAGCAGCAGCAATGTCAACAGGCACTGGTAGCAGCAGCAATGTCCACAGGCACTGGTAGCAGCAGCAATGTCAACAGGCACTGGTAGCAGCAGCAATGTCAACAGGCACTGGTAGCAGCAGCAATGTCAACAGGCACTGGTAGCAGCAGCAATGTCAACAGGCACTGGTAGCAGCAGCAATGTCAACAGGCACTGGTAGCAGCAGCAATGTCAACAGGCACTGGTAGCAGCAGCAATGTCAACAGGCACTGGTAGCAGCAGCAATGTCAACAGGCACTGGTAGCAGCAGCAATGTCAACAGGCACTGGTAGCAGCAGCAATGTCAACAGGCACTGGTAGCAGCAGCAATGTCAACAGGCACTGGTAGCAGCAGCAATGTCAACAGGCACTGGTAGCAGCAGCAATGTCAACAGGCACTGGTAGCAGCAGCAATGTCAACAGGCACTGGTAGCAGCAGCAATGTCAACAGGCACTGGTAGCAGCAGCAATGTCAACAGGCACTGGTAGCAGCAGCAATGTCAACAGGCACTGGTAGCAGCAGCAATGTCAACAGGCACTGGTAGCAGCAGCAATGTCAACAGGCACTTCTTGATCTAAATGTTATCATTGACGAGTATTCCTTGGCATGGTGAACTGGCTGATGTAGATCATTGACGAGTATTTACCTTGGCATGGTGAACTGGCTGATGTAGTCAGTGTTTGCTGGTGGTAGCCCAATCACAAGGCAGACTGAATCATGTAAAAACATACAACTGATGCTACTGGGTTTTCTACTCTCAACCGCAATATGCGTTTGCATGTGCGTGTCCTGTCTTGTGTGTATACCTGTCACATCATCTGTTTAGAAACCAACCGCATAATGCCATATACTACTGCACCATACACGACAAAGACACCGTCCCCTCCCCCCGCACACACACAGACACACACAGGCACACACACACACACACACCACACAGACAAACACACATACATACACAGGCACACAAACACACAGACACACACACACAAACGAGCACGAGCACACTGTAATCACTTACCGTGCAATTGGCGCTGGTTTGTGCTGCTCACGAAGAAGGTGGCGCAGCATTAGTTTCGGGTGCTCAAATCTAATTGCATCGGCTATGTTCTCTTCTTGCAGTTGTGCTATAACATAGTCGCGCACAAATTCTTGAGCAACTTGCTCCCCCTGAACAGAACAGCAGTAGAGGGATGACACACACACACACACACACACACACACACACACACACACACACACACACACACACACACACACACACACACACACACATACACACACATACACATACACACACACACACACACACCATGTATACACCCGTCGCAAGAGAAGCATGCAAATCTGCAAATGCACTGGATGTGCACCCACAGATTTTCTCTTATAGCAACGATAGCGGACAAGATCTGAATGAGACAGATCAAGACCTGCACCGGATAACTGTTCAATCCACAAAACCTGCGAAGCCACGTGAATCGACCACCAATGCACACCTGGTCTACACCACACGGAGTACATCGGCATAAAACGGCCAAGACAGTTACCTATGCACACCCTACACTTGCTGGGGTAACCAGTATAGACAGCACACTGCTTTGATAGAAGCAGACACTAGATGCACTGGTACCTTGAAGTGAAATTGTAGTTACTTTACCAACCAGCCTCGGCTACTGAGTACTGGGAACCCAGAGCCAACAGACATACCAATAACCTCAGCCATGAAAGCTATAATTATAATAACGACACACACCCACACATACACCTTGGGAGCACTGCCATATTCTGGCTATGCGGACCCCATGGGGGGGGGGGGGTTGAGCAGGTTCGGAACAGTAGGGGCGATGACAGGATAGGTCCTGTGGTCTACTGAAACGCCAATCGCAATTGCAAACGATGCAGTAGGAGCTACGGTCTGTGTTGGTTGTTCTGGCCGAGCCACGGCTGCACTTCCATAGCAACGTGTGCTGGGATTGCACCATTCAGCAGCTTGCAAGGCTGAAGAATTGACCGCCACTATTCAGCCTGGTCTACATCACACAGCTATGAAGTGGCTTTTTCTGGCCAGTGAATCCCTACTTTTTGGTCTTTTTGATTTTTTCCCGCACACACATCACACCACATACTGCTCCGGCATGCACTGGCTGTTCGTAACCACCCAGGAGAATGGAAGAAAAGTCAGGAGTCTGAGAAAGAGAAGAAAGACGTGTGTGATCATAATTGTCGGGAATTGAACCCACAACCTCTTGATTGGAAATTGCTGCACATACCACTGCACCATACGGGACACACACACACACACACACACACACACACACACACACATACACACACACACACACACACACACACACACACACATACACACAGATACACACAGAAGATTGACTTACGCATCGAAGTAAAGCTCCAACAATGGCATAGAATACATCAGTCAGCGTTGCCGTATCATCCGCAGTTATGGCAATCTGCAAGAAGAAATCCCAGACCCCCCCCCCCCCCCACACACACACGCACACATACACCGCATACACACACACACGCGCGCGCACACACAAACACACACATCAAGTAAAAAAGAACCTTGACAGAGAAGAGGTGCTCAACAAACTGTCTCCACACTAAAAAGTGTGGAGCAGGAGCAGGGACACATATCCAGTCAGAACAACAGCTTACTAGCACAGTAAAAATCCCGCCAGAGCGACCCGTCTCTCCTATGCACCCCTTCCTGACTTCTTGTCTGGGAAGTGATCATCGTAGGACTCTGTGAAGCGTGATGTCTTACTCCACTGCAGACATGTGCTCGACCCGGTTGCAAATGTACACAACAGGTCACAGCCTCTCAACCTTTGGACGGTGTACGAGATGTACGCACAATTGATACGATCAGTTTGGGAAAAAATGATATTGAGTTGATAGTTTGAAGTTGCTTGCAAGGGTCAAGTAAGTTCTGTTCGAAACGAAACCTCTGCATGATGCTTGCTGAATGCACCGCGTACATGGCTTGAGTACTCTGCACACAATTGTCTGAGTAAAAATTACTTGAACTTGGCAGTAGGGTGAGTAGTTGTCTATGTAGTACAGACTGCGGAATGCGGAAAGTAGAACTCGCCCATCCGCCCCTCCCCACCTGAACCTCCTAACAGGGTCGCGTAGGTAGGGGCGTTCTGGTGGGACTTTACGGCACATATCGTTGCTACTCTGACACCCACACGCACGCACGCACGTACACACACACACACCACACACACACCCCAACACACACACACACCTCAGACCTCAGACATGCCCATCGCGGAAGCGATAATAGCGAACAGCTATGTTAGACATAGCAACTTGTGCTGGGATTACACCATTCAACAGCTTGCAAGGCTGATGAATTGACCGCCACTATTTTTAGCCTGGTATCCACCACACAGCTGTTTGAAGTGACTTTTTCTGGCCAGAGAATCCCTATTTTTCATTTTTCCCATTTTTTCTACACACATACACCATGCCACATACTCCGGCATACACCGGCTGTTGGTAACCACCCAGGAGAAAGAAAGAAAAGTCAGGAAGAGTCCGAGAAAGAGAAGAAAGACGTGTGCGACCATAATCGTCGGGAATTGAACCCGCATTCTCTCGATTGGAAATCGACTGCACATACAACTGCACCATATGGGACACACACACACACACACTCCAACACACACACACACTCCAACACACACACACACACACACACACACACACACACACACACACACACACACACACACACACACACACACACACACACACCACATAAGCAACACACCTGTGTTGTTCGTTGAATGAGGTCCACCATGCCCAAATGCTGTACAATGGCCGCAAGACGTGACTCCTGCAGAAGATGATTAGCAAGTTCACTGTGAAAACATAACAGAAGATGCAAGGGATATGACACACAGAAGAGAGAGAGAGAGAGAGAGAGAGAGAGAGAGAGAGAGAGAGAGAGAGAGAGAGAGAGCGGCAGCAGCGGCAAAAGGAAACTGCATTGATGATCAAAGCGGAGTATCCACCCAAAAGTTGAATATGGTTGGTCCGTGGGTACTATGGCCCCATGCAAAATTCAAAGGATTGGAATTTGCATTGACAAACAGCTCCAAATCCAGCTTACCACTGGAACATGATATTGAGAGGAGAGCAAAGAAACATGCACAAGAGAATCTTACTTGATACCCTCTGCGACCAGGTTGGGATAATGGTGGTGAATGTGCTCCACTAGAAACATACGAGATGCTGATCGACCTGGTGTTCAAACAACAAGCAATGCGGCCATTCAGACGAGCAAAACAACCAAGCAATGCGGCCATTCAGCCAAGCAAAAACAACCAAGCAATGTCATTCAGACAAGCAAATAACCACCTTGAACGGAGAAAGTACGGCCTGGAAATAATTCAACCACTTCTAGTCTTCTGGGTGCTGCGGTGAATGTTGTTGGTCCAAGAAAGATGTGACTCTCCGTTCGTCCTATATTCCCAATCAAATTCCCACACCTCCAACTTAATGGGAAGAGTGTGTCAAAGAAAGACATTTGTACTGGAAAGCTCATTAGAATCGCCATTTCGTTCTTATAGAAGGACGGATATGAACCTTTCAGAACCTGTAGCTGTCCGAGTGCGGAATCGACGGGTCTTGGTCCACGAAGGCTGGGACACAACCCTTACTCCCAATGGTCCACGGAGGCTGGGACACAACCCTTACTCCCAATGGCCGAACCTTCTAGTACCCCTATTTCAAAGTTGATGCATAAATTGATGACTTGCATAATAATTTTAATATTAGTGCACCGGTGACTGCTGTAATCAAGAGTACATAAACCAGAGGGTGCAACTGTGCACATCAGATCTGAAACAGCGCAGTTTGTGCACTGCATTACCCTGATGAGGTCACCCAAGCCGCAACTTGCCTACAGCTCAAATTGTTGTGTTTCACAGCCTAGAAATCAGCCAAGTTTGCATGATTTCATACGTCCTGTTTTAGGATTTGGGTGCTTTGGGTGACTGCGTAGGCCAGGATTGCACACTGTCAAGTAAATTCACCTGACTGTCCATATTTAAACAAAACAAAAAAACCGAAATCTGCCCAAACCCAGTAACCTACACCACCGTGACTGGTTACGCAACTTTTCACCGTACATGTGACTTACCATGCCGTCAGAAATGACGTACTGCACGGATTACGCTCCCACAGGAACCATCCCAAGTTGCACAATCTGGTTTATGTACTCTTGCCGTAATGCAGTGACATCACGTATAAAAAGTTTGATCTGTTCAAAAAGGTCATATCATATCACCACAGCCGATCTCTCCAAGCGTCCACCACATCTAGAAGACTTCGACATTACCTAGGACAAGCTACATCTTCGCTACAAGCAGCGAAACTGAGCGAGAACACGCTCGCAATAGCGAAAGTCGTTTGCGCTGAAAAGCATATTTTTGAACGCGTTAGTTCTTCATACATGGGATCAATCTCAGCTGTCCAGCGCAAAAAAACGCGAGTCGATCGGAGCTACGCGTATACGGCGGCGGGGAACGGCGCGCTTGATTGGAAATGACTGGTACTGTGCATGAGGAATTTGAATTTCTATACATTTTCGCTGGAGATTATGACTCATATCTTACCATGAACTTGGCATCAATAAAACAAATAATTTCATTGACAAAAAAATTGTACTCAGCATGAAAACCTTGATGATGCGTTGTGTCAAGTTGGGTGTAGTATAGGAAGTTCTAGGACGCACTAATCGATATCATAATCGATAATCGAATCGATACAAGGGTAAGTTAACCGATAGTTGAAAAGTGTAATCGTTTCACCCCTAGTTGCTATAAGAGAAAATCTGTGGATGCACATCCAGTGCATTTGCAGATTTGCATGCTTCTCTTGCGACGGGAGTATATATGGTACATGGCGTGTGTGTGTGTGTGTGTGTGTGTGTGTGTGTGTGTGTGTGTGTGTGTGTGTGTGTGTGTGTGTGTGTGTGTGTGTGGTGTGTGTGTGTGTGTGCCTGTGTGTGTGTGTGTGTGCCCGCCTGCCTGTGTATGTGAAGAGTACAGCGGAGCTCCCCAAATTCCATACTACCGTACTGGCAATATATGTTGCCGCGTAACGCGCGACCAGGCTAGTGCGACAAATGTTCGTTGCGTTCGTAACGCGCGTCCGGCGGGGTGCGGCGATCTTTTCATTGCAGTGCAAGGCTGAAAACTGTGAAAGCACGTGTACCGCGTGGTGAAAAGTTCAAAACTGGATGCAGCAGGAAGTCCTGCAATAGCAAAAAAAGGACTGCGGCAATATAGAAACCTGTGTAACGGCTCCTGTGCGACTTTGCATGTAACACCCTGCGTGCGGTAAACATGTGCCAATGTAACGCTTCATGGCCTCACTGCGACCATATATATTGCCAGTACGGTAGTACCTTCCCCAAATTCCATACTAGTACCTTCCCCAAATTCCATACTAGTACCTTCCCCAAATTCCATACTAGTATCTGCACGCACACTAACCATAGCAAGACAGTTGGCCATAATGGTCCAAGTCAGTCTGTTCAACATGCTCCAGCCCCTCATCAGCTCTCTCTTGTTGCAGCACAAGTAGAAACGATGGATGGGTCAAAGCCAACCGGACTGTTTCCAGATGCTCCTTCGGGACTCGTAAACGGGCACAGAGAGCTGACAGCTCTACGTCGTAATCCCTGGAAAACAATGAAATTGCCACAGGAAACATATTACTATCCAACAGGCAACCTATCACATATTACTATTCAACAGGCAACCTGTCACATTGGTCATATTTAAAGGCCCATTCACAATACAATTTTTTGCTGTGCGACACCTGCGACGAGCTGGGACAGTGACACACGGTTCACAATCTTTTTGGTGTTTGCGACATATCCCTATATGCACTACAGGGGCGTGCTCGGCCCCCCAACTAGGGGGGTGCACGGGAGCCGAGGGGAGCCCCCCCCCACCGGCAATTTTCTGCAATTTGTTTGCAACCTTTCTTGAATTTTAGAGCATATTTGCATTAGGGGTGAAACGATTAGTTCGAATATTCGAGTATTCGTTCGAAAATCTCAAACGAGCGAGTATTCGAAATTTTGCACTCGATCGTTTTTTTTTTTTTTTTTTTTTTTTTTTTTTAGTACTGGCATTCTATTTTTCAAAAACTCCTGTAACTCCTGCTCATCGACTGGTATGCACGCATTATTCGTGCCTTTGAGTCAGTATTTTATGACTTGGACGATGCGCTCACCACGGCAAGTAACGTTATTTTTGTTTTGAGATAATGAAAGTGCTGGTGAAGATCGTTACTTTACACTCTGTACAAGACGTTGGCGACTTTTGTTCTATGTTCACAGATAATTTCTTCAGAATTAGTCGAGAACTCACAAATCTAGCGCTTTTGAATTTCGATAAAATACTCGAAATAATCGGATACTCGATCGAATATTATGAATGAGTGATCGGTTGGTCAAAATAGATACTCGTTTCACCCCTAATTTGCATACATTACAATTGCCCTGGATCAGATTGAAAATTTTTGGGGGGTGCACGTGCCCCCCGTGCCCATCGCCGAGCACGCGCCTGCACTAGTAGTACTATGCGACATATCCCTATATGTACTAGTAGTACTATGCGACATACAGTCAGACCTCGCTTATCCGGTCCTCTTTTATCCGGATCCCTCGCCATCCGGAGGAAAACAGCTGGTTACAGATTTACAGCATACGTGATGCATCCAACATAACCTGTGTTCGGTTATCCAGTTGCCTCGCCTATCCGGATATTTTTGTGGAAAACGGATGTGTGCGGTTAAGCGAGGTCTGACTGTATCCCTATATGCACTAGTAGTACTATGCGACATATCCCTATATGTACTAGTAGTACTATGCGACATATCCCTATATGCACTACAGGTGAAATCCTGATAATTCGAATATGGCTCAACGTATGTCAGCGCCTTTAGAGCCATGGCCTTAAATTCGAAACACCCGCTGCTTTCCTATTTCAGATGCAAACTGACTCACCCACTACGCCATGCCATAAAAGTCAAAGTTCATACAGAAATGTCAATCCAAATCCACCTGTTCACCCTTCCTACTGGCCTGTAAGTTTGTTAGTATAGTACTTCAGTGCTGCCAACCAACTGGGTCTGTTTTGCATACTGCGACTTCTGATTATCCGTATATTGCAGCGTTTTTCCGTACTACCAATGCAATGCCGTGTGCATTGTATTGTGATTTTTGACACTCGCATGCTTGTCGGTGGCTGAATTTGCTAGTGCAAAATATGAGTGACTTGTACCAGGACATGTTATTTTGTGCTACATGTAGTCGAAGCATGGCATGCTCTCGTTTCGGCACAGGGATATTCATCGCTTAGTTGGCGCTTGCCATACTTCTACAATGAGAAACATATCTGTAGCTGATCGATCCTCTTCAAATTTCCGTATTATTTTGCTCCACTTGAATTCCGTACTGCGGACGAAGGAGTGATTTTCCGTAAAAATACGGAAGGTTGGCAGCACTGGTACTTATTCCTTCATTTTTTACAAAACATACTTCAAATCAGTCATTTCCCTAAACATACTTCAAATCAGTCATTTCGCTAATGAAGCCCATGGCTTTATAACTGAGACTGGCTTTATAATCGAATATACCTCCATGGCTTTAAAGGTGCGTACATTCGGTAATTAGAACATACACTCAAACGCCTCTTATCCGGCCGCCTCAGATACGGGCACGTCTCTCTACCGGACACCTTCAGCTTGAGTTCCTATAGCACAAATGCTTCGAATTTGGGGGTTTTGAACTTTTTTCCGTATGAGGAAGTGCTTATTTTTCACTGCCAACCTATGTAATCCACACATTTTTATCAATGGGTTCCTTTTGTATCCTGAACATGTGCAATACATTCCAAATAAACTTCTTCAAAAATGATATGATACATGGTAGATGAGTTATTCTGAGATACGGGCAAATCAATCTGAGATACGGGCAGTGCCCGGTCCCAAGGTGCCCGGATAAGAGACGTCCGAGTGCACTGCTTAATTTAGAAGTTTCTTCCGGGACCGATTTCTGTCAATATGATTTCCACATACTGAGTAACAATTTCTGATAATTGGAACCTCGAACTGGGTATGTCCAGTTAATTAGAAGTCCCACGGAATCCACTTACTAGTACATAGAAAACGTGTGGGATTCGTGCTGATAATTCAAAGTTAGCAAAACATATTAGAAGTTCACTTTATTTTCTGCAGATCAGTTTGGCTTGCATGCGCAGGCAGTTCAGTGTCCACTAAACAGTGTAAATCTGTGTCTAGGGTGAGTAGTGCAATTTTGCGTGTGAATGCGAGCATTTTGACATACATAATGTGTTGTGGGTATATGTTTGGATAATTAGGATGTCAGGATAATTAGAGGTTTCCCCCCGGCATTTTGGTGTTTGAATTATCAGGATTCCACCACCTGTAGTGTGTGTACTATGCATGCACACAGCAGCATCAGCAATTCCGGAGCAGCCTGGAGATTAGTTCAAGCACATTGACATGGCAACCTGCTGGTGCGCGGGAATACGCACTTCTAGCGTACAGGATCACTGGGTCGTGAATGGGGTAAACCGCTGTGGTCTGGACTTGATCTTATTCCTCATGATTCCATCCTCCTTATACATGTACATGTATTTCACTCTATACTTTTTGCTCCATAAACCAACACCAACCAATGGCAATATGATCACTTGGTCCCGTGTGTGTGTGTGTGTGTGTGTGTGTGTGCGTGCGTACGTGTATGTGCGTACGTGTATGTGTGTGTGTGTGTGTATGTGGTGTGTATGTGTGTGTGTATGTGTGGTGTGTATGTGTGTGTGTGTGTGTGTGTGTGCATGTGCGTGCAATGGTCAACTACTACTAGTACTAGTAATGCAGAAACCCCGTCGCACAGCAGTGTCAGGCACCTTAACTGAATGCCAGTTTGCGGATGACTCCACACTGTTTGCGACACCTCGATCCGGGCTCGAGCGAGCTGCAGTGACGTTCGATGAAGTCGGGTCCGAGTTTGGACTGACAGTTAGTCTCTCCAAGACCAAGTCCAAGACCAAGTTCATGGTGATCGGCAGAGACATTTCTGATGCGGACCTCACTCATGTGTGTGTTGGTTTGAACCAGATTGAGTGCGTAACGGAATTTCGCTACCTTGGGTCGATCATCGATACCGCTGGCCGGTGTTCGATTCAATTCAAGGTGTGTGTGTGTGTGTGTGTGTGTATGTGTGTGCGTGTGTGTTTATTCATGTATGTGCATGTGTGTGCATGTATGTGTGCAATGTGAATGTGTGTATGTGTGCATGTGCGTGTTTTCATGGTCAAGCCTGAAGTTTGGACTGTACATGCCATTGTACTACATGTATAGTACTAAGTAAAGGCTGTCATCCAATACACGGAACCCATACACATCTGTACGCATGTCTACGCAGGGTCATGATGTGCATACTCGGATATGTCAAGCTTCAGGCCTGAACTATTTGCCATTCAAACTACGATAGATTCAAACTAAGCACTGGCAAAGAAATGCACGAGGCTCCATAATACCAATGTCTAGCAAAACACGCAGCTGTGCAGAGATTCAAACTTACCACGTTCCAAAGGCCTGCGAAATATCAGGGTAAAATCTCTCGTGCTTAGTGATGGGGAAATCCAGAGCAGCAATTTGTGGAACGTGTGGATAGTTTACAGCAAGGGCTTCACTTGCACTATGCCATGGCTTGACAGAAGAAGGCAGAGCCGAGGAAGACGTGTCGGCAACCTCAGTTGAAATCAAATTAGAGAGCCATGGGAAGCGGAATGACGCCAGTGAAATCCACCTACAATGCTTCGTTGAGAATACTCGTCCATTCAACACGGAGCAACACGTGCTCTGAAGCCTCTCGCTTGACAAACGCAGCATTTCGCCATACAAGAAACGTAATACTACGAGTAACTCCGTCTAGACTATTCCCATGTTGTACTGGCGGACTCTGCAGGTGTTTAGGAGATGTGTTGATAGTTCTCAAACTAATAATTTTTATTTAAATACTTACTTCACACTGACTTCCATGACTTCAGCTATCACAGGCCTACACAAAAAAGCTAAAGTAGTAAAGAGCTGTTGTTTGTTTTTCGAGGTCCACAGATCATCACTCGTATACGCGTAGTCGTACTCACACTAGAATTCAGATCATAATAATTTTTATCAGATCGGTAGCTCGCAAAAACAATAAAAAAATAAACATTTTTTTTGTGAGCTGGCATGGCGCCGCGCCATGCATGGCGGCCTTGAACAAACGGGTCGCATACATACCGTATTATCGATCAGGCTCTAATTAATTTTGGTCCTTTATTTCGTCTATACCTCCGCGGCCCCGTGCTATTTTAAAATTATTCAACCTCATTTCAGAGGCATGTTGCCATGCCAAATTATGTCAGACACACACATTTCAGGGGTTTTTCGCCGGTACGAGTACAGATAATGAATTTACACAGTGTGCTTATAATGGAGACTGAGTACTTTATTTTTTGAATGCTGCCCCGAGGTGTCCTATTATTGGAGACGTGCTATTATTGGAGACTGCTTATAATAATTAGAGATAATACGGTAACAAACATCTGGCATGACTCATGTACATTGTACTATTTTGGCTATTATTGTAGTTTTGTCAAATGTGTAAAATCTGCTCTCCTTCTGGCTGTTTCTCTGCTCGTGATGGCTGTATCGAAACATGGGTGGTGGTAAATGAGAGCCAGTTTATCGTCTTGACCAGAAAATTATTTTGTGCATATCATAATTTAATTCTCCCTGCCACGTCGGTATAACTAGTGATGAGTGCTTTGCCATTTTCAACGGTGTAAAATGTGTAAAATAAGCCCCTGAATGGACGAGGAGGGCAGTGAATTGCTTCCGCAGGGCCTTTGGACGACGTCAGGCCGTCTTGCCATCACTAAAGACAATAATGAAGAACAGTAGGTCACGGAATACACTCTGTGAGAACGAAAACATGGCTGAGTGATGCTATGCTGCCTATCCAATTCTACCGTATGACACAGTCACACAGCCACTAGTTACAAATACAAAACACGGCTTTCGCAGCATACAATGCATTTTACAGATTCATTTTCATCCACTAGCAATCCTTGAAGTGATATCTATCAACTTCAGAACATTGATGACCGAATATCCCAGTTTGTGATGCCGGCATTTTACAAATTTGTTCAAAAAATGACACCAATTATTTGAATCCTGAGAATACTATGAAAGTAGGACATGATTCAAGACACTTTCCAAGTGGGATCATTCCCATTTTTTGAGACAATGGGCATGACGGATAGCACTTCCACTTGCAACAATTCATTTGGTGACGTAGCTTGCCTAGAACGTCATTTTACAACCATGTTTAAAAAAATAGACCGAAATCACCTTGTGTTAATATGATCAGGGACCTCGTGCATTATATAGAATATAAGCTGAGTCCCGAGTGTTTACAGGAAATAAAAACCCGAGGCAAAAACCCGAGGCGAAGCCGAGGTTTTTTGCCGAGGGTTTTTTCCCGTAAACACGAGGGCAAAGCTTATATTCTATTTAAATTATAGTATAAAAAACCTCCAGTCATTTCCCTAAAAAGTGGTTTTTTATAGCGCCAGTTTTTTTATACAGGTTTTTTTACAGCACCAGGTTTTTTATATAGGTTTTTTATAGCACCAGGTTTTTTATATGAGTGATTACCAGCTTTTTAGAACATGCAAATGACTAGACTGGAGGTTTTTTATACTATAATTTAAATTGAGATACATGTACATGCAGATGTATATACACCAGTTATAAAAACCTCGGCTTCAAACAAGTCGCCTCAGTTTTTATCTCTTAAAAGGGTGGCTGGGGCGGTACAACTTTTTCGGGGAAATTTTTGATTGCATATTTTAGTTTATCGGCAAGGTGGAGATGAAATTTAAAGGGGAAGTTAAGGCAAAAATTAAAATTTCACCAGTTGTAGTCTTCGGGGTGCTGAGTCGAATGGTCGTGGTCCGAGGAAGCTGAGACGCTCCCTTCCTACTTGAATCCCAATCGAACTCGCGCACTTCCACCGAAACTGGGTGACTGCGCCCTACGAGATGGGGATTTGTATGCAAAATGTCACTAAAAGCGCCATTTCGTTCTTATAAAAGCACGGATGACCGCGATTGGCCCATATGTTGTAGTCTTTTGGACGCTGAGTCGACTGGTTTTGGTCCGAAAAGGCTGCGATGCAGCGTTCCGCCTTTATTCCCAATCGAACATGGTTGAACAAGCGGTCCGACGTGCTCCTGCGTACGCCAGTCACCTGGTCACCGTGCCTGCAGGGTACAACTTACTAGCCTGTTTGACCTTTTTTGGGTGCAGTCCTGTCACTCGAGTTGAACCTTGGTGTGAAAGTTGTCACCTGCTGGCGTGGTGACCAGGTGATTTGGGCACCCAGGAGCACGTGACCGCTTGTTCAACCATGTTCGATTGGGAATAAAGGAGGAACGCTGCATCGCAGCCTTTTCGGACCAAAACCAGTCGACTCAGCGTCCAAAAGACTACAACATATGGGCCAATCGCGGTCATCCGTGCTTTTATAAGAACGAAATGGCGCTTTTAGTGACATTTTGCATACAAATCCCCATCTCGTAGGGCGCAGTCACCCAGTTTCGGTGGAAGTGCGCGAGTTCGATTGGGATTCAAGTAGGAAGGGAGCGTCTCAGCTTCCTCGGACCAAGACCATTCGACTCAGCACCCCGAAGACTACAACTGGTGAAATTTTAATTTTTGCCTTAACTTCCCCTTTAAACTGAAATGTTTTCGGTGAATCTCTGGAGAATAGCCTTCTCTAGCTTCCTATAGTTTTATTTTTACTTTATATAATATGGACAAAATTTGAAAACGTTTTATGAAAGGTCCATGTTATTTTTCCACTGACCTTTCATAAAACGCTTTCAAAGTGTGTCCGAAAGTAAAACTAAACCTATCGGAGGCTAGAGAAGGCTCTTCTCCAGAGATTCGCTGAAAAACATTTTCAAAATTTTCAAATTTCATCTTCACCTTGCTGATAAACTAAAAAATGCAGTCAAACATACATGTTGAATCACCTCCACCATTACGCTGTGCTCTTTAGCAGACTAGACCCTCCTGCACACAACCATCACCACTGCGAGGACACTTCCGTAGACGATATTGATAATCCCTTCAGACATCTGTTTCGCTAATACATAGCTCATCAGTGAAGCTCGAAGGTAGCCTACTAGCGTTGAATAATTAAAAATATAGACCAAACTGCTTATATTTCAGACTTTCCTGTTTTTTGTCTTACCCCCAGACTAGTCAATATATAGGGTTTTCCACACACAAAACTGGCATAGCTGATGTGATAACGCGGGAAAATAAAAGTGTGAAGTACTGTGGACGCGCATGGGACATGCATGCAGAGTCAGAAATTCTTAGCGAAAAATCAATCACTATGACTATCAATGCAGAAATAATGAGCCAGAATCAGTGTCACTGTGTAGCCAGTGAGAGTCTGTGTATTGCACTTGTCCGAGCGCCATGAAGGCCTGCAAACTCACCCCACGACCCGCCGACGTCGACAGCCACGGCAGCCCCTGGGGCATAACACTGCACTGCTCGCCCGTCGCGCCAAGACGCTTGGCAGCCTTAGGTTACTAGGCTTCATGCAACCAATACTGTCCACAAGCTACCTTGTCGTCACGTGCCCATCACCCACTGCCGTTGACGCGCTGGGAGGCCCTGTGGCATTCGCCCAGTATATCGCTCTGTCGCACCCTGGAATGAAAATACAACAGTAGAGGCAAATGCTGGACCAGTGTGTTTTTGTTCAAAATGCTCCAAAATACCAGAAAATTTATTATAAATCCGGTTTAAAGTATAAGGAAGTGTTCCAATCCTTCCCATTTTTCGGGACTGACAACTTGATATTCTGGTAGGATTAAAGTGCTGTGCAATTTTGAACTACATCTATCTGGCCGTTTTTATTTTCTGATTTGGGTATGAGCCACTTAAAAGTCAGATTCATCATGACTTCATTTCGCGTACGGGAAACGCGTCTCATCTTGAAAAAGTTGATTTGAGCTTAACTATTTCGCGTACGGGAAAGCCATTCCGCGACTTTCAAGGGTGCCAGTAACTGAGAATTATTCCTTGACTTGTAGAGGCATTTTAGTTAGAGAGGGCATTTCAGTTTTTTGACAGATCCTATAATTATTCAATCTGCGGACAGAACTGTTTCGTCCTTTGTGGACTCATCTGCGCAAATTAATTAATCACATGATTTTCTAATTTGACTCAACTGGCACCCTTGAAAACTTCTGAAGAGAGCCAACTCGGTGTTCTGCATTATCCACAGTGTTGTGATGGATGCAGATGACGATATGCCTGGCAGGGAAAGTAATAGAAGTGCTCGGTATGCTGAATAAGTACAAAGCCCATGAATAGATGTGTGTGATTGATTGAGGAGTACTGCCACAGAAAGCTAAAAAATAACCTACTGTAAAAGCAGAAATTTTCGGTGGTGTTTTATTTTCGGTAACTTCGGTGCGGACAATTTTTACCGAAAATAAAACGCACCGAAAATTTCGGTACAACAGATACTGTATACATGTAGTACTAGTACACCTACCTGGAGAACAGGTTTTACCGAAAATTTCCCGCTACCGAACCGCCGATTTTGGCGAATACCGAAATATTACACCACCGAAAATTTCTGCTTTTACAGTATGTCCAAGTTTGGGGCTTTTTACCCATGAATCTTCACTTTGCGACTAAACTATTCACAGCAGTGCCAAATTTTCTGGGTCACTGAATGTGGATGCCAGCGGCCTACAAGGAAACCAAAAATCATATCATTGCGACCACTGACATTACCCCTGGTTTATGTTATAGAGAGGCCGGTGCATTGAAATTGAAAGGTGGGCACAACTGGTCAAAATTTGGCATTTTCTAATTTTTCTGGCCGTACACAGCTCAGAAACTGAAGGGAGCCATCCTCATTTCGTTGTATAGCTAGCTGGACACA